ATTAAGAATTAAATTCTTAATTCTCTGTTAATCAGAGAAGCAGCCATGAGGTCCATCAGAAGTTTGTAACTTCTGGTTAAAAAAGAAACTCTTGCCCAAAATGCAAAAATATTGTGTGGGGTGGAACATTAACTGCACACCATCCTGAATACATAATCCCACATGAGAAACATGAGATGTGATATACATACACATAGTATAAAATGCTGTTATATATTGAATATTGTGGTTTTACCTTGTCAGCTGTTATAACAGGTCAAAGTCTTGTTATTGAATATGTATTGTACATATTCCACTTTTCCAATTTAGTTTTTTTTTTAATTTTATGTATATTTTTGTTTCTGCAACCCTTCTCTCAGGTAACGATACTTCAAGCTTGATGTTGCACTGAGCAGTCTGCGAACACCAGCGACGGACACCATAGGATTTGTAACAATGAAAAAAATGATGCTAAAATGTGATTTGTGTAAATTATTTAAACTACCATGTTTGTGTGTAGTTGCATCAAATGCATGTAACCTGATCTCTGAGGAGAGGAAGAGTCGATCATGGTGATGTATATGTGCTTGTGTACGTGTGTTTGTGTGGACTGAGTGTGCATTTACATCCATACATTATTGAGTAATTGCTTCCCGATGCTCTCCTCTTTTCCCTCGAATATTAATTACCGATTGATGAAACTTTGTTGGTCAGAGGGGTTTGACGTTGAAAGAGGAAATGGGGGTGGGGGGGTAAAGGTGGGGATCAAGCTGTTGGAATGGAGGGGAAACTTATTCAGTGTGTTGTGTGTGTGTGTGTGTGTGTGTGTGTGTGTGTGTGTGTGTGTGTGTGTGTGGTGTGTGTGTGTGTGTGTGTGTGTGTGTGTGTGTGTTGTGTGTGTGTGTGGTTTGTGGCTGTGTTGGGAGGCAGGATGGGGTTGATGGGTGACGGAGTAAAGCATTAACAGGGTTTAGTTTCAGGGAAAATCATCTTTCTTGGTTTAAATGATCAAATTTTAAAAGTGGCACCATAACAACTGACATTTATCCCCTTTTGAAGGAAAAATACGCTTAAGAAAGACTTTTTTGAGGAGATTTCTAGCTTAAGTTCAGCTGTAATACTCAGTATACAGTTTCTGGAGTTTTTTCAGTGGCCCCTTATTGCACACTTTAAGCTGAACCACAAAATGATAATCCAACACACCAACAACAGCTAAAGTGAAAATGTACTCAGATGCTTTCGTTTCTTTATATTGTTGTATTTATTTATTTATTTATTTTTCTTCTGCATAACTATTTAATTTTAGGGAAGCAAACAGACTTAAATGAAACTATATGGTTTTATTATCACAGAACGCAAAAAACCCAGAGCTGAATGGAAAAGAAGATGGCACCATCTAGTGGACGTCTGAAGTAAGGTAAGAAAAATAAATAAAAAAAAAAAATAAATAAATAATAATAATATATATAATGGGATTGCATAAACAAAAAGCTGTACATCAAAAGTTCAGAAAACCAGTAAAATGGTTGCCTTTTCACATTGACATTCAATTTTTTTAATTTATAATTTCTTGATTGTAAATATTTTCAAGATATCTTGAATACTCCTTTAAAAGAGCAAAAAATTCTACTGAAAGAAATTTGATCAGGTTATGATTAAAACAAGTTCATATTTATAATAGAAGACAGGTATATATATATATATGTATCTCTCTGCAAGCTTTAGTGCTGCGTTTGTATTGTCTAATGTGCATTCACATCAAGTGATAAGGTAATTTTTCCTCCTTTTTGTAATCAGAGGCCAGACAGTAACGAACAGTCATGAAATTATAGATTTTTATATTCTTTAGTGATGGCATCATTTCTCCATACTGAAACACTGGGGAACTCAAAAAGTGGATAAACACTTCTCAAATGATCAGGAGCATTGGTTGCAATCGAAACTCGCATTCAGTAGATCTGAGGTTTTTATGATGGGAAACAAAGTTTAAAAAATAGAGGAAGCCTTTCTTGCACAATCCAGAATTTTTAAGATTGCACAAAACTTTTGGTGCTTTACATTATTAAGATTTTCTTGACTGTGACAAAAATGAAACTATGCTATGATAGAATATGCAATATCACTGTAAACTACATGAGCCGTGTTGCTAGTAAAATGCTTGGGCACATAAGGAAAAATAATATTTTATATCATCTGCTGATTTTGTAAGTCTGTCATTTTATAGCAGGTTCATTTTAAAGCCGTGAGACTGAATGTTGACCAAAACTGTAGAAAAACAAACGGATCACAAATGTGTTTAGGGGGCCTGTGTCTCACTGTGTGCCAAACTTTCAGCGCAGTCATGATAGCATTGCACTTGTTTGATTCTATAGATTATGTCTAGTTCTATCTGCCTTTTGTTAGTGATCTCATTGTGATGTATACATGCAGATTTCCTCAAAAATACCAGTACTTGAAAGGGCCTAAAGTACCAACTGTAATGGGAGTTTCCAAATGATGCATTGCTTCCTGAACCCAGATTTCTTAATAAGAATGACACATATAGCAAATCCCACAGAGGTCTATCAATGAATTATGTTTTTTGTTTGTTTTTTTTTTACAAGGTTGCTGAGACAAAGTACAGCATATCGCTGTAAATTACCGCAGTTCCCATATTGGCTTCTGAAGTTTATGATTTGATAACAATCTGGTGATTCCTTTGTGAACGTCAGAGGAAATCGTGTTTCCACTTCACATGGAGCTGAGTAACAAGTCTTTCGAGGGAAGAAATCCGATTTAAAAAATTTAAAAAAAAGCCGGGGACACATAGTGAGGGGCATTACTTGTATTGCATGTGGTTGGATAAGGTATTCACCTATATATCCAGGCAGACAGAATAAAATCCAAACAGGGCACAAGGAGGAAGTGTTTTCCAACTGACGGGCTAAAAAGACAAACACAACAATAAAACTGACAGATTGTACAACCTATTGTCTTTCAAGCAACTGATCCAGTTTCTTTTTTGCCATAGACATGTTGACTTTCCAAATAGTGACATAAATAATTCTGTCGCAAAGGGGGTAAAGTTATGGGAAGAAACTTCCCTCTTGATGAGGAACAGGTTTGTCAAACCGCCAACCTCATCAACTGTCATTTTTCTCACAGAGGGGAAAATGACACAAAACTCTTGGGTTTTTGTTGAATTTGTATTCAGTATGAACTCAGAGAGCTCACAGCAACACATAACCCCCCTAATGTCTATCCAGTTTACTCAGGTTTGTCCAGATGAACTGCAACCCAGTTTCAGTCTGATCCAAGGGTAAATAAGATCATCTGACCTTAAACACTCGTAATTTCTAGTGTTCCAGGAACAGGAAATGTGTTTAAGTTGTGGTTTTAGCAATAAAGCCTAACGACAAATGTATAAAAAAGACCAAAGGTTGTGAATTTTTTTTTTGCAGATTCAGTATTTGCTGCCATGCATGAAGAATTTGTCACAATTTCCAAAACTCTGGAAGTTGAAGTGGAAGCTTTAAACTTTACAATGAGCTTTTACATATGGAACAAAAGACAAAACTTTAATAACCATTGCATTCTTTCATATTAGGTTTGACATCCAATCATGTTTGTCATTAACTTTCACTGCTCCTGCAGCTGTGCATTTTTATCTGATGCTTTAATAATTTCTTATGAAAATCCAAAAACATGTGCAAATTTATGTCACTGTTACATGTCAACCACAGGAAGTTCAAGTTCGCTATCTATGGTTGGTATTTCACTTCTCCATTTATGCTTCATGAAGAAAACAGCATGATATTTGCTGGTCACACCAGTTTAAGGTGTGTCCACACTTTAAAATACTAAAACTTAGATTCACCCATTTAGTGAATCTAAGAGTTAATGAAAGAAGCAATGCCCTCACTAGCATTTTTTAAAATACTCCACAACTCTAGTTTTAATATAAACTAGAGTAAATTTAATACATTTTATTAGGATTTTATGTAATGTGGGGGGGAAGTGGTTATGCAAAAGTTTTACTCATAAAAACTTGAAGCGTCTCCACAAAAGAGTGGCAAGAAGAAAACAACTGTAGAAAGAAGGCCAACTTTTTGGCCTAAATGCAAAATGGTAAATGAGATGGGAGAATAACATGACACATGTCCCTGAACACATCATTGCAATGGTGAAACATGGTGATGGCAGTATCATGCAGAGGGGATACTTGTCTTTAGCAGGGAAAGGAAAGATGTAGATGATGACAGGTCAATCCTAAAAGAACAGGCTGCAAAAGACCTGAGGCTTTAGTGGAAGACATAAGAGCTTGAGCTAAAAAAAAAAAAAACGGTCAAAACTTTCAGCTTTAATATGTGCAAAGCTGGTAGCAATGTAGCACAAAACACTTGCAGCTGCAGTCGTACTTAAAGGAGACTGCAGACTTTAGTAGATGAATACAATACATAATTTTCAGGTTTGAGCCAGTAAATCACCTAAAGTCCCAATAAAACATTGAACTATGTGATTGAAATGTGACAAAATATGTAACAGCAGAAGAGGAACGAACTTTTTTACAGCAATGAAAACCAGACGTTTCTTGGCCAATACCCTGAATGTAATCATATTTTCCTGAAAAGTTAATGGACTTTTTTCTGAGATGATGAATAAGATCTATTTTAAACTAAATATTACTGTAACAAGTCATGCCTCTTGCCAGTAAAGTCATGGCACTTCCTCATCTTCAGTTAATATTAGAGAAGCTGTTGCTGCTTCGCTTGCAATCCAGCAACTGATCTAAATCAAGAGCTTTCTTTTTCTCATGCTCAAAGAACCGAAACCTACACAAAGTCTCAAAGTATGCTTGAGTTATCAATTTTTCTTGAAAATGAAAGCGTCTGAGACCAATATTGCATGTCTTCATTATTGCACAAAGCAACAGAGCTCAAATTTCCCCTGGAAGCATTTCGAGAAATGTTAAGAAGCCGTCTCTTGAAATAAATCAACGTGTGAAATGTAATCTCTTTAATTAAGTAGACAACAAAGACCAGTTATAAAAAATACAAAAATCTTTATTTATTGCACATACATTTTAAAATGTGTTTGAGCTTTAAAAAACTATACATAGTATCATTTCATAAAAAAAGTAACATGTTTTTCGTTCATCAACTCTGTGTCCTCAGTACTTTGCAGGTCATACTTGACATGTCAGTGCACTGCTTGTCTTCAGATCTTGCTCAAGAACAGGACAGTCACATACAAAGATCCTCTTTCACTTAGATCCTCTTTCACTTAGAAACCTCCTCAAAGTCTCATGAAAAAGTGGCTCCCTTCTTTATCCAGTCGCAGCATAGTTTTGTTGGACTGGGTCAGAACAGTCCTAACCTTCTCCGCTGATATCTTTTTACCAAGAAAGAGCCGCATTCTTGCTTCCTGGAACAAGTCCCCTTCCAGGTGCTGCAGTTGACATACATAAGAAGATCCAAAAAAGCCGGCATCAAGGAAATTAGAAGCAGCATTAGTCCAAGATGAGAGCAGGACGGTTGTTTTCCCACTTCCAGAAAGTCTCTCCCTCAGGTAACAAGACTTCACTGGCATGCAGAGTAGATCCTGGAGTCGGACTGACATCCCTTCCCTGAAAATAAAAAGAAGTTCTATAACTCTGAACTATGTAACATTGCCAGCTGAAGGCATCAAACTCTTAGTTTCATAACACTAATATAAATACTGCCAGTTTTTAAAAAAAATGTCCTAACAGTGAGCCATGTGGGACACCTCAGATTTCTCAAAAGCAACACATGTTGCAAGGGAAAACATATGTTGTTTCTGTGGTTACATGCTTTGAAGTTCTGGGACTGTGTGAGTAAAATATAAATAAAATCTATTTCTGGACAGTTTAATTTACTAATAAATGGGGGTTTTAATTGGGTGTGGGTCATTTCATTCGTTCTCCATGTGGGTCAAGTAGCTAACATGGGGATCAGAAAAAGAAATGAATGGATAAAAGAGGTAATACAACTTTTTTTATGTACATTAATATTAAATTAGGTTGAAATTTGAGCATCTGCATAATTTGCAAAAATACCTAACAGAAAAAATATTGGTTTGAGTTAACAAGTATGAAATTGTTTGTCTATGGGTAAGAAATTAGTGCAGTTGCGTAGCTACAATGTCTGTGTTGAAAGAATCAGTTGACCTTGGAATCACTTTAGTTTCACGCAGTCGAGTTGTTGGACTTTCGGTAAATGAGATTAAAAAGGAAGAGGAGTGTGCTATTTTTTCAGAGGGATTGGAAAACTGTCTCTGACTCACTTGTTTTGCAGCCTGTAAGGCAGAGAAACTACCACAGAGGAGTCTCGTTTTTTTTTTGTAGTGAGATAGAATTCAGAGAAACGAACTTTCAGATGCGATCTCTGATTTTCCTCTGTGGGACGTGCAGCAAAAACAAACTCGTTGAAAGAGAATGTCAAGAGAAACAATGTTCTTCTTTTACTTGCTTCTTGAACATATAATTTTATATTATTGTGTCTAAAATGGGTGAATTTGCCTAGTAACTTACTTATGTAGTTTCTTTTATTTTATGCATTTAGTGCAGTATTTCAACTTCATTCCTTTTTTTAGATAGTTTTCTATTCTAAAGGCTTTTACTGGAACCTAAAAGCAGTGATGATAGTAGAGGACCATATCACTGTGGACAACAAGAGACAGATATCAAACAATACAACAGTATCGTAACTCGGAGTCACGTCTTACCTTCAGTAATAACTATTTCCTCAACTTCGTTTCCTTTGTCTTTCTGTAGGCCTGAGGGGAAATGAACATTATCAGGAAAACAGGGGATTTATTTAACCGCTCAGCTAATCAGTTCCAGAATTAATAATTACCAACTAATTTAATCATTACTAGTGTAAACATATGAGGCCTAATATATTAATGACTTGACTTCAATGGACTTTTTTGTAGCTGTTAAATGGTGCTTTCAAAGATAGTAAAGTTGTTGTTCGGTGCAGAACAAAGAAGCTGTTCAGGCTTACAGGCAGCTGCAGACATGGACTCCTCATCACCAGCCAGGCAGTTATGGGTCCTGGGAGTTCTGGTACCTATAAAACAAGGGGACCTTTGAGTTAATGTGTTGATATACAATGTTAATGATAATGTTAGATAAATAGTGGATGGTGTGTCTGCCTCTAAAAGCATAACACAGCACATTTACATATGAAATTAAATTAATGAAATTAATGCTTTACAGAACGCTTTCAATTAATTTCTCTTACAAAAAATTTGGGATTTGAAGTTTAGGAAAAAAATTCAGCACTTTCCAAACCAATTTATGCTAACCTTAGAAAAGATGATTAATTGAACTTTTGTTGCATTATAATAATCTCACAATGAAAACTTAGGAAAAAATCCAAACATTAAGTAACTAATAAAATTATTGGTTTCCACACTTATTCTGAATATTAACAATTTAATTAAATGTAGCTGAATAATTTTTTACTGTAACCATTTCCTTTGTAATGTGGATCAGAGTATTTAGGAACTATAACATGACCTCCTTTTACTTTGAGGTACAAATATGTGACAAAGGGGCCAATTTCTCTTAGCTACTAAGCAAAGAGGGAAACACAAGTACTTGTACTTATGTTGAGCAAAAATTAAGAAATGGCTGCAAGAAAAAAGCCTTTGTGTCTTCAAAAAATAATTATTTTTTCATTTTGAATTTTATTTCTTCCAACTCAAAGGAAAAAAAGTAAAAGTTTGGATTCTTCTACTATTTCTGTTTGTGCGTGTATTCAACTGTAAATTTTTTTTATTATTTTAAGAATTTTTACACTTTTATAGTGACGGCAACAAATGTGGAAGATGGTGAATGATGATGTTAAGGCGTTAGTTAGTACAAGAGCATTATGACTTCATTTTTCTTTCCGTCTCTTATTTACATAGTTAACTCTCAGTCTTTGTGTGAAAACAATATTCTTGTAAGCATCCCTCAGAATGCTGACATTTCCTGAATACAGTCACCCAGATATTTCTATATCCGTGACTCAAATAGGATTTCTTGTCAAATTAGCCCGTTCATTTATCTGAGTGTATGCGTAATAAGTTTACAAGTGAACAGGGTGTTGGTTTGGATCAAAAGGCGAACAAGCGCAGGGCCAAAAAAGCACCTACGCATCCACAAATAGCTGTGAATTTCCCTTTTAGCAAAACCAAGCTGGGTGATTCCAGGCACATTGATGAAGTCCTTCAACTTCAACAAAAAAAAGCAAAGTCATGCTCACGTGACTAGCATAAACAGAAAATGTCACATGCTGATGAAATTCCACTAAATTAAAATGACAAAAGGTTCGGAACTAAAATCGTCAAAGATTTTGAGAAAGACTTTCTCTTTCAAATGGAAATTGCATTGTCATTGCCATACTTTTAAAACAAACAAAAACAAAAATGTGATTTATATTTCTAAGTGAAATAATGTTTTATTGTTGTTGATTTTACCACAAAGCCTTCTTTTTTGAAATCTCTTTAGCAGCAGAACTAAAGTCAGATGACAGGAACAGGAAGAACATAAAAAAAATGCTGTGAACTGCACCGACAGTAACGTCAGAGTAATGTCAGACTGTTTGAGCTTTTAGGTCAGACACTAAAAACACGATAGAGACACTCCAGAATTTTCTAGCAATGCAGCAAGGTACAAAGCCAAATGAAGAATCAAAGTGAAAGTCAGACTCCAGTGATGCTTCCCTTTCCCACTCGTCTGTTATGCATCACTTCTAGACCTATGTTTCTATCACTTTTTGTTTTACTTTCTTTGACAACTTATCTATGTTTGTAAAGTCATTTAAAATTTCCAAATGTGGAAAATTCTTAGCTATTTTTTCAGATTTGGCTTGTTGCACACGCTGACGCTTCCTTTAAAAAGAGTAGATGTTACTCAACAGGACAATATTCAGATTTTCTCAAATACTTCATTCAGTAAGTGTATAGTAATCTGAAACTTAAAAGTGGTCAGACTCAGTGTCAACAAATGCCTTTCCTAAAAGACTTGGGTTGGTATCAAGGACTAAAAACCTTAACTGGGACATCCCGGACTTTATCTTTCATTACAAATTTAAAACAATTTTTGGACAGTGTAACGTTGCCAAAAATCCTAATACATGACATGAAGTTTTGGTTCTTTGTTTAGTAGAATAAGCATGCAGTTACCTTTTTGGCGTCTGTAAATGATCACTCCAAGAACAATGGCAGTCAGTATTAATCCTACACACAAAACAACGATGAGGATGTCATTTTCTCCTTGATGGAGTGGTATATCATCTGTATTAAGAGAGAAAATATAGAGAAACCTCTTTAATATTGTACATAAAATTAATCTCAGACAAACATTTTGTGTATGTCCACAGATGTCTTTTTTTTTAACCACTTTGGAAAGAACCAAATTTACCAAAGACAAATTGCAGCAGACTTCCCTATAATGGGCAAAAGCAAAACTAATAGTCGCTGTGAAGGAGAAATAGTTTTTGCCTTATGCTACAGTATTTGTGCTGAGCATCAAAATATCTTTCCAAATTACTTTTGCTGTTTTTGTTGGTGGTTTTCATCGTTTCCTAAAGAATACTGGATCCTCTCTACTTTAAGCTGATTAAGTTCTGTCTCTTAAAGACTAAAATTAACCTCCGATCTTTCAGAATATACTTTCCAGTGAAACTACAAAGTAGACCACACAGCCAAAGAAAAAACTAAAAAACAAATCTTTACCATGCAAAGAGTTTTTTTTCTCAGCAGCCCTACATGTTAAATTGTTTCAAAACACCTACAGTTGCAGTTAAAAGAAGGCGTAATTCTTGCATCTCTTTGCCACTGTAGGCAGGTGAAAAGATAACTTTGCTTTCATATCGACTTGAGGGAGCCTGAAAGTTCATTTAAGACGTGAATAAAGTATGAACAAAACAGGAAGCTGAAATAGCAGCTTCTCAGGAGGATATCCTGAGAAAATATCATTTCTTGCTGCCAGAGTCAGTAAATTTTCTACGACATTTAAACTTTGAATTGATTCCTTTGTCATTTAGTACCTTTCTGAAACAAGCTCTTTGAGCACTATATCAAAGAAAAACCTCCACTAATGTTAAGAATTTACCTGGAATGTGAAATGTTGCAGACGAATGGTCTTTTGTAAAGTTACATGTGTAGTTTGTTTTCTCTGAAGAGCTGACTTCAATCTGACTGATGACTTTGATGAGACCGCCTGGCGTTGTCGTCGCTGTGGTGTTGGAACTGTAACTCTGCAGACGCCCATCCTGCCACACAACAGGAGACTGAGGGTATCCCTCAGACTGGCAGGTTAACACCACTTTATCCCCCTCTGCTGTCCTCTCGATCTGCTTTGAGACCGAATGATATGGTGCTGGAAAAGAATAAAAAATCAAGATTAGCAACATTTTATTAGATAAATAATGAAAATAGGAATTCAAATGCTGTGTTTTGGTTCAGAGATAATGTTTTGGCTTAAATTAAAGTCCATTTATGTTTTGGAGGCACTTGATCTAAGTGGATGTCAAACTTTGCACATTTTTGTTTGTTAAAATAAAAGTCTCTGCATGCCTACTTTTGCACTTTTTTTGTCTCAAAAGATCAAACAAAATCCCAATAAAGTCTAAGAATGCTTTAGGTGTATGAAATCCTCTGCAAGAAACTGCATCTGAAAAGGTCTCAAGATTTTTCTCTATCAAACTGAACAGTGATGGGTTTAGTTTCATTTTCAAAATGAGTTTTACTTTTAACTGCCCAGAAATGACCATGTGCAACAGTCATTGAGCAAGACCATTCCTGAAACAAAAGTTCTGGGAAAATGAGCAAAAAATGCACACTGTAACGGATCCAGAGTGATCTCACCTCCAACTGACAAAGCTATAGTTTTATAATCGGTCCCTTCTGCCGTTTGAACCAAACACTGATACGTCCCAGAGTCAGTGATCCTGAGATCTGATATCTGTGAAGTGAGATGGAAGGACAAAAAAAGATTATGCACCATAAGACAAACTACTTCAAATGAACTTGAATCATAACTGCATTTCTACTTCTGTCTCTAAGCATTTAATGAAATACAACAAAACAAGATCACAAAATTGTGTGGCATATTTTTAATGCACATATTGCCCTAACAAGATTAATAAAGGACAAACTTCAATGTCAGTTATTCTTGGCAGCATAAAATATGTTGGCAAGTTCAAACATGTCTCATGAAGAAGTTACACAAATGTCTCATCAGTCATCTGACAATTGTTATGTAAACTCTGGTTAACGAAAACTGATTCGGTACCAGAAACATTTTATTTTTATTTTTATACAGAGAAAAGCTTCCTGTGGCCAGAAACACCAGTGTGTTTGTATTGTTCATATGAAGTAAATACATAAAAAGAAAAGAAATACCTGTATCTTTGCCCAGCTATTTTTCAGTTCATCAGTGAGAATCTTCACACGACCCTTGAACTTTGAAGATGCAGAGCTCTCAAAGTTGTCCACTAGCCGTATCACTTCCTGATCTGGACTGCCGTCCAAGCGGTGCCAGATAACCTTGAGGTCATTTTGAGGATTTGCTGGCTTGGAAGAAAACCTGCAGCCCATCACAACATTTCCTCCATACTCGGAACTATATGAAGTGTGCTCTGCCTCCACTGTAAACAAGGCTGCAAGACAATAATGTGTAGTAGATGTTTTAGGATAAACTTGCACAAATTACAAAGCATACACACATTAAACCTCAGGCTCATTTAAGCAACAAACTTGCTTTGCAGATTTAAGTTAGCTTGCATGTCAAATTGAAAAAGAAAGCTTTCCTCATGTTTCAAAGTATATAGTTACAACCCACCTGCAAGAGATGGCTGCAGGGACACTTGCAGAACGACAAGAGCTACAACAATGACCAAGTCCATTGAAATCTGAAAAGGAATAAAAGTGTAAACAAAATATTTAAAACTTTTGGTCACAGATGATCACAAGTCACTTTGCAGACCCAAGTCAGCTAAAAATGTTGCAGTGCATGACACCGAGATGATCAACAACACATGATGCTAAGTCATACTTTTTTTTTTTATCACCGACCTAAGTATGACTAAGTTCTTACTGTTACAAATAAACCTCGTGTCTGGCTATTTCTTTTAGATAACATCAGGAAACCACAAAAAATGCAAAAGTGTGTGTTCAGCTGTGTTCATCATATTTCTTTGGCAGAATGAGTCATAACTAAGAACTCCATGGCAAAATCAAAATATTTTCACACAGTGAGCTGTCATGTCTTTTTTTTTGCCATGAATCTGTTTTACGAAATATTTTACAAAATAGTAATAATGAAAATGATGTTTTTAGTGCTTACCCCCTATGACTTCCACAAATGACTTAACAACATATGCTGAAATTGGCTTTGGGTCTCAGCTAACTTTCTGACTTACCAAATAAGGACCAGACTATCAGACAGTTAACGCAGATTTTTTTTTAAAAGCACAGCTGGTAAAAGTTGGAACCTGCATTACATTAGCAAGTAGTATCATTGCTTTTTATTATTATTATTTTATTGAAAACTCAAAATGCTGTAAGAGTAAAATCAAGTTGCGATGTAAATTTAAATTCTCTACTTGTCCAGACTTATCAAGACAGCATGAAAACTTAAATAAATTATGATGGAGTGATTTACAAACACATGCCATGCTTGCAGTTTCCATTAAAAGAGATTTGAAAAGAAAAAAAAAGTGTTTGTAGTACTAACAAAACAAATAACTTTTTTTTAACATGGGGCAAAACATTCATATTAAATTAACCCTGCAGTTAACCTATTAAAATAGAAGGTTTCAAAAGAAACTTTCTAAAATATAGCTTTAAACATTCCCCTGGCATTAGTTCAGCATGACTAGATGAATAATAAAAATAGGTACCTGCAACTATTAACTATTAATCATGACTAAGTAAAGCAAAAATTTGAAAGCTACAAACTAAAAGTGCTGTCCTACCTGCAGATTGATACACTCAGCCATTTGTGTTTTCATGTGCTGCTTCCTTCTTCTTTCACGTCTAAATGATACTGTCTTTTATTCGAGCGCTTTTATTAAGAGAAGGATCTTCCCCTGACGTAACGAACCCGAACCACGTGGTTACTAAACTCAGTCACAAGAATAAAGCTGAGGATCATCAGCGACTTCACAGAAACTATCATCATTATTTACTATGTGTTCTCTGTGTTTTGTTGTTGTTGTTTTTTTAAAGGTAAAACCAAGTAAACGCTGTAAAGAAGTATTTAAACTTGTTTCTTTTTTAAAACATACAGACATAAAGACCAAATGAGACCTTTTACTGCGGAGGACCTACCATAGACAACGAGTAGAGGAAGCTCAGTTTGCAGCTTGAACTGGCAGCAGTCACTAAATCAGTTAAAATGCGACGTCTGTAGTTTAGAACAGCAGCGTAAAATAAAATAAAAAGCGTCCAGGAGCCGCGAAGGCGTGAAGAAATGAATCCCAGATGACTCGGTGTGCGTTTTATACTCTGTCTGTTTTTTCCCCATGTTGTCGTGTGATGTCTCGGGATTGTCCAGGTTAAGTCAGTCACTATTACTGTAAAAGGCACAGCGCGTTTTTTTTTTTTTTTTTTTGTTTTTGTTTTGTTCTGATTTAACAAGACCTTCATCATAATTTCTCACCAACATGAGCGACCAGGAACTTCTTTAATACACTAAAGTAACAATAAAAATTCAGTAAGGTAGAAGAACAAAAACATTATTATTATACTAATGACTACTCACTCAAAACTGAAACTATTCGATTTGCCTTATGACTAGGTGAATATACTACAGTAACTCCGGGAACATTAACAGGGTGACTTTACAAGGTCCTGCTTGAAGAATATTACTTACTCATAGAAAATACCACATGGGTGGATGGTGCACTTATAGTTTTTCTCACCATGACTCTGTTTTTATGCCATTTATGTTTTTAAATAGCTGACTTGTCTTTCTTATACGTAAGGCTCAGCCAGCTGATTGGCAGTGAGCAGCAGGATGTGGAGGAGGGACAGTATGAAAAGTAAGTTGCCATCTTGCTGCCAGTGACTGACTCATGTTTATTTAAAAAGTTGAATCAACGTATATCTACTGTCTCCATCAAATCTTCCACTGCACAGCTGTATTTTGTTCCCTGAAAGTAACTGATTGCAGAAACATTGAATAAGAAAACATCAGAACTGCTAAAATAGGTAAATGGCCAAAGCGACCAATAAATGAATTAAACAAACAAAATCTCTGGTTTAAAGAGATAAGGGGAAAACATGTTGCTTACTTTTCGAATAAACATTTTGTTGATTTATATCTTTCTTTTGTTTCTTTTTTGTATCTTGTGTCATATAGCTAACAATTTGTGGTTTTTCAAGCACTGCATGCAAATGCCGTTCTAAAAGTACAATCCAGAACAACAATGTTTCCAACACAATACAGATACATTCACAAGATGTAATCTCTGAAAAAAACGGAAACTTAAATATCCCTGAGTTTCCATCCCCAGCCTTGCTGCCAGCCAAGTGGAATTCCCACCTGTCCTGTAAGAAAGATATGTAATAATTTAACTATTTATCTCTGGCACATATCACAATGATATGTTTACACTGGGAAACTTTTGTGGGTTTGCCAGTGATTTTCTTTTCTTTCCAGTCTGATAGTAAGTCTGTGTCTGATTTGATCAGTTCTAATGTTATCTCAGTTTAAAATCCTTTACCGTTTTTCAATGTATCTCCTAGAAAGCTGTTGTTGCTAATGCTACCTCTCCTGTGACTCAAGGCAAAATGATAGCTGTCATAATGCCAAAGGTTGTGTGGAAACAGCTTCTCCTCTGCTAAATGCAGATGTTAGTGTGAGAGTCCTGGTAAGTTTTTTTTGTTAATGTTTTTCCTTTTTTCTTTTTCTTTTTCTTTTTCTTTTTCTTTTTACAGTCCCAATAAAAGGTAAGTCAATCTTAATGTTTCTGGGTTATCCTCCAAAAAAATAGGTCAGTCTGAAGAAAATATTTGAATTAAAATTTAATGCACTGGTGAAACACAACATATATTTCTGTGCCTTTGTGTATTAAACAAAAGGCTTCTGGGCAAAGATTTGTGGGAAGATGTTCCCACAGGATGTAAATGGGAAGGTAACAGCTTAACTTAACAGAATACCAAGGTGGAAAGACATCATCAGTTTATTTAGAGAAATATCTGTTTCTATCCATCAATCTAGGAAGGCTTATATCTAGGAAGGCTTATTTTTTTGATAAGCAATCAAAAAAATAATCATTCTACAGAGAAAAACGTCATTCAGAAGGAGCTTATTGCTCAAGTTTGTGTGCACAAATAAGACATTTGAAGTGCTCACAGCACAGAATAAATATATTCACAAGTAAAGAAAAAAAGCAAGACAGCAGGACTTCCTAATGGTTTTACCTCAAGAGCCAAATGAGCAGCTATGAGTGAAATAAAAAAGATAAGTGCTTTAGTCCATGTCATCTCTCTGTCTCACCTTAACATGGTGAAGGTTAAAGTTCATAAAAGGACAGAGAAAACAAGAAATTTGGCTTTGCTTTGTCTATAAGAGTTGACAGAGAAACAAAATATTCTGCTTAAGTTGGATGAATCTCTAGGACATACAAGCTAAATCTTTTTTTAATAAATGTTGAAATTATGGAAGTATCTGTGTGTTTTCACTCTTGATGTCGGTAGAGAACAAATTGATTTTTAACTTTAAAATATAATTATTATAATGATTAAAACTTCTGGGTTTTTTTTTCTATAATCTTTAAAACCTTGTGTTTCAACAGAGGGAGCCATTTCTTTGTCTTCTCTCTGCAGCAGTGTAAAGACACTGCTGCACACAAAATAATAACAGCAGCTGGCAGACAGATTCAATCCACCTTTAACTCCAATTTCTGTAGAAACTAAGAAATAGTTTTTGTTTTTTATAAAAACCGACATCTCTAAATTAAGAACCAACGAATACAAACAATAATATGTAACTTATTTTGAAGGTCTGCCCGGAAGTATGGCATCAATTATCTTCCGTTTCAAGGACTGCAGCTCACATTGCCTTTGTTTTCATAAACATCCTTGAACGTTTCTTTTTGTAATATAGTTCCTCTTACGTTTACATTTGATAGCATTATAGGTATGTAAGACTTTTATTTATAGTTAGCCAAAACTTAAAAGTAATGGGTTAAAAGGAAGTCGTTTAAGCAGGAACAGAATAAGCTATTTAATTAGGTTAGCCTTATTAGCTCCTCTCACTTGTTTTACCGAGTTAACTTAAACAAACATGCATGAAACTGTCTCAAGCTTTTTAGCGATGCAGGATGCAGATTATTCGGTTTTAAATATAAGCGAATGTGCTTCTATTTGCTTATTTGGTTAACTATAACATGTTAACCCCATGCTAAACAGGGATTTATTTGCTCTGTAGCCTTGCGAGGTCACTATAATATGAAAAAAAACAACAATGCTTTTGTTTCATTTGCAGAATAAATTTTTGAATTTCTCTATGTTTTACTTCTCAGTTTCAAACATGGGCTTTCTCATGTCTAAATCCATGGATGCAAACTTGCAAAAGCAGCAGGAGTTCATGCTTCACAATTCACGGTTGCAGGTAAGTCAAGGTGACTCCAACACCATTAAAAGCTGATACTGTGTTTTAAATGCTTGTTACATTTTTAATCGGGTGCATCAGTTCATTGATTAAAATCATTTAGGACTGCTTCAGGTTGGTGGTCAGGAGTTAAACTGATTAGCTGTAAAATACTCCCATTGCATTTTAAATTTTTAATAGAGTAAGTGTTTTTCAATATTGAGAAACAACAAAGTGAATCTTATAAATGAGCCACATGTGCAGCGTTTGACTAAAAAGACAGATGAGAAGCCTGAGTTCCAGCAGAATTGCTACTGAACGGTACACAGAAAAGTGCATCTTAAGTTGACATGAATGGCAGATTTTCAACTGTACCATTTTCATGAGCAGGGCCTTGTTCTTTTCAATTGTGCTTTTTGTGAATTAACTTTTTTGTTTTAAAGGTTTTCATTTACAGCTGTGTTCTTTGGTTTTAATCATTCTGTTATTGCACTATTGTTTCTAAAATAAGAAACATAAGTGAAGGAGTTTATTCGTTGCTCTAGATTTTATTTAGGTATTGCAGACTGAAAGGAGATGAATGCAAATGCCTTCCAGGATAGGATGGATTCCTGGATTCATTAAATAATGTACTCAAAACATGACAGCATGGATTCTTGGGTAGACGTTACATCCATACATCAGAATGAAACACTAGCTTGTCATGTCCGTCGGGCGTTTCTGTTTTGCTTATGACACAAATCCACCGTCTCAAAACTTTCCTCGTATTTTCACCTGGAGAAAACAGGATTTTATTGCTCTCATTAGTTTTTTTTGTTGTTCCATGTTTTTTTCAGTTCAAACAAAATATTATTCCCCTCCCCACCCGTGTTCTCCATTAGAGATAATTTAGCTTGATTCATTCATGCCTGCAAGCCGCCGAGCAGCAGGTGGGATTCGTGAGTGTCATAATGTCAACGAAATTATAAAATTTGGACCCAAAAGGGTCTCTCTGTGGTGTGCACCTGAAATCTTCTCAGTTTTTTCAGCTTTAAACGAGGAAGATGATGACTAATACAATGCAATACAGTGATGCCAAAGGTTTGGCAATTGAATTTCACAGCACCCTCATCTGAGTCCTGAAGATGATTCATTGAGGGATATTAGATGCATATTTATGCATTACTGAAGTGGCTCTGCATTGTTTCATAGCCTCAACTGTTTAGCTGCTTTCAGTTTTTATAGTTCACACTCAGAATCACCTTGTATGCAGTTTAATTAGACACTTTAAGTAACATTAAAAAAAAATGAATAAATAAAAATGTGGAGTAGATGAAACATGTCAGTAAAAATGTCCCTGGTCACTGAGGGTGAGAGCTCTTACTGGTCTATTATATGAAATTATTTAACTACTTTATTTTTTTGCATTTGAAATTTAATTTGCCTAATTGAATAAGCCAGAGTGACCCTTGTCATTTTAAAATGTCTACACAAAGCTACGTTGTTGCCTCCCCCTGCATTAAGATGTCAGAAATGTCTTTCTGTCACGGCTAATTGATCCCTGTCGTGCTGTTGCCTTAAGTCAAAGCTACGCAGTCATTGTGTTTGAATAATGGCCTCCAGAGGTCCACCATAACATTTACTGGATATTGGTCTGATTTTTCTGACGCATGCCTTCAAAGCTAATGCAAGCCATGAAATGACGTAGGCATCGTCTTTTTTCTGAAAAATGTTTGGCTGCTAGTTCTTCTCTACCATATTTTGTGTTAATGTGAGCGTGGAGGTGATCCAAGGTTTTGCCTTGCATTCTACATTTACTAATTTGAAAATGGAAAAAAAAAAAAGCCTTGAAGTGGTGTAAAGAATACTGGATATTAGA